AGCAGTGAAAATCATTAATAGGCAATCGTTCGATGGGCTGAATTGCACAAAATGCATGATCGCACTAGGTATTCTGGTGCGCATTCCCATTTATTTGCATTGCATAGCTGCAAAAAACTCATAAAAAGGATACGCCAGTGCTGTCCAACTTCCCTTGATCCTTCGCTGTTTACTTGGCATACCCTCTCCCATGCTCGTCTTAGCTTCAGAAGAAACAACTAAACTGCGGTGGTTATCGACCTGATGTCATACAGTGGGATCCACGTACCGTTTGTGACTACCTTGTTACGCACCGTTGTGGAATTCAGTAAAATTCCATAAAATACTCCGTCTGTGCTTATAGCTAAGGGATGAAACATGAACTGCAAATTGACTTCACCTTTTTCTACATATAAAATTCTCGTACAACTTACATTATGTTTCCATAAAAACTGTTTGTGGTTTTTCGTCCCATCCAAACATTGTGATTACATATCGATGAAGAGGTTACGTCTTCAAATTTGTTTTGCCCCATATGTGTCGTGTAAACACTTCACTTTGATTTGCACAAAGCACTGTGATCAGTCACCCCGAGGATTAATGAAGGATTCCTTGTCATCATTAAGTAAGCCGGTAAGCTCTGTGTCTGTCATACAGTGCGATGGTCCGATCTAAGAGGATGTTCAACTGCACTCTAAATTTCTGAGCAAGCACTGTTGATTGGACGGCCGGATAGCTGCTACTGCGATACCCCGCTGATAGTACATGCTCGAAGACCTAAACCATTTTGAAAAATGGACCTTTTGAACGCAAACGATGATTGCGATAATACATGTAGTGATATGCAAGCATGCGGACAGAACAGATATTTTGATGAGCTGTTCGCTGCTGCTGCACACGCCGAAACAGCTTGTCAACAGGACGTCTGGGAGTGCTGGCATCCGAATCGAAACACTCGGGATCGTCGAGTAGAGCCATCGTACAGCCATCACGAAACACTTTACCAGCATTGATTTATAAACTTCTAGCAATGATTGTCAATCATTCGACTTGCTTCATTTATATCGCTCTCGTGATGATGTTTTCATGCTGTCGTGGAATGGCCAATTCCACAACACGGATGTGAATCGGGAGGAACTGGGTGCTTATCCGTTGTGTGTTTTGGTCATTGTGTGCATATGCACGGGGTGCTGGGTATTGTACGTTGCACAAGAGGAAGAGGAAGATGGCCGACAGTCGACGGCTTTGGATTTGGGCTGCCGCCTTTTTTAAGCTCCCACATTCGCGATGCATGCATTTCTGTATATTTATGCATTTCTGTATATATACATATATATATAGTAAATGTTTTTGATGTGTGGTTGTGAGGTATTACGGGGTCGTTGTGACTAGGCAAGAT